CAATGGGTATGTCTATTGGGCAGATAACTAATCTTTTCAGCTCAATTTTCAGGAGCAAGAGGAATCACATCACAGTTTGGTGGAGAGTTGTAATTCTGAATTTTGTCTTACTGGCAAGGAAGTGACGGTGTTGTATGCTTGGGAGGAAGAGTAAAATGGATGCTTTTTACCTAGCAAAGTGAGCTGTGCAGATATAGGTTCTATGTTCACCAATCTAGTTTTTCTTAATTACCCTTATTATTACATTGAGAACATATGACTACCTATTAAATAATGAAGATAAGCAGAAGTGATGATTCCTTTTTCAGTCCCAGCCATAAAACTTTTCTTGAAATCTTTCACTTTCTTTCTTTCCCCTATCAGCTTCAATGGAAACAGAATATTTTGAGATAAAGACATACACTGAAACACATTTTTGATTCACTATTTGAAGGAAGAGCCCCTGGTAGAACCATCCAACTTCCAGTGGACTATAGTATAAATGAGGAAGAATTATTACATGAAGCTGTTGAGATTTTGGGGCTGTATGTTACAGGAATCAGCATTTTTTTTTAAACTAATGCTTTTTTAAACTAATGCTTGAGAGAAGACAAAAATCATAGAGGTAATGAGAAGTCCTGTTATTAAGGGTAGCAAACAGGAATTATTCTGATACTAGAAGTCATGCACCTGTTCAGAGTTAGGGAAATGACACAATCTGAATTAACATTGGAAGAGATAATGGATGGACAAGTTTACAGAGGCAGCAGTTAGGAAATTGTTGCAGTAATCCAAGGAAGAAGTGATGGTGGCTTTGCCCAGATGGTAGCAGTGGAAATGGTGAGAATTTGTTAGATTGTGCATATATTCCAGAGGTAGAGCTAACAGTACATACTGAGAGCTTAGATGTAGTTTATGAGTTGTAGTTAAGAGTTGGGTAAATGATGGCTCCAAGAATTGTGTGACAGTTTCCTGAGATTGGAAAGATAGCAGAAGAGACCGTTTGCCTTGTCTTCAGAACATGAAAGGTGATATCATACCAGGTAAAGGGCTGGTATCCTGTACAGAATTTATCAAACTCAACACCCTAAAAAACAAATAATCCAATCAAGAAATGGGCAGAAGATAGGAACGGACATTTCTTCAAAGAAGACATACAAATGGGCAACAGATACATGACAAAATGCTCCATATCACTTGTCATCAAGGAAATTCAAATCAAAACCACAATGAGATATCACCTCACACCAGTCAGAAGAGCTCAAATTAACAAGTCAGGAAATAACAAGTGTTGGTGAGGATGTAGAGGAAGGGGAACCCTCTTACACTGTTGGTGGAAATGCAAGCTGATACAGCTATCCTGGAAAATAGTATGGAGGCTCCTCAAGAAATGAGAAATAGAGCTCCCCTATGAAGCAGCAATTGCAGTAGTAGCTATTTACCCTAAAGATACAAATGTAGTGATCTGAAGGGGCACATGCACCCGAATGTTTATAGCTGCAATGTTCACGATAGCCAAACTACGGAAAGAGCCCAAGTGTCCACTGACAGATGAATCAACAAAGAAGATGTGGTGTTTATCTGCAATGGAATATTACTCAGCCATCAGAAAGGATGAAATCTTAACATTTACATGTTAAGATGGAACTGGAAGATATTATGCTGAGTGAAATAAGTCAATCAGAGAAGGATGATTATCATATAGTTTCACTCATATGTGGAATATAAGAAATAGCACAGAAGATTATAGGAGAAAGGAAGGAAAAACAGAATGAGAAGAAATCAGAGAAGACAAACCATGAGAGACTTAACTGTGGGAAAGAAACTGAGGGTTACTGGAGGGGAGTTGGATGGGGGGATGGGGTAACTGGGTAACAGACATTGAGGAGGGCACATGATGTGATGAGCACTGGGTGTTATATGCAACTGATGAATTACTAAACTCTAGATCTGAAACTAGTGATGTTCTATATGTTAGCTAGTTGAATTTAAATTAAAGAAAAAAAAGTGAGCAGTTCAGAGGCTTCTCCTAGAAGGCTCTGGAATAGGTCAAACTGAATATTTCTCAAGCCTACTAGTTAAGGTTGACTCAGTGATGGTCAGTGACAAAAATTGCACTGAAATTAATACAAATTCCTTCCATCTTTAAACTCTCAAAAAATTAAATTTGTTTCTCCTTGCAAAGTTTTCTTTAAAGAAAAAAAAAGAGACTTCCTCCTTTTCTTATTCAGGTGAGTCTGAACATTTCATTAGCCCTGCTGGATGGAATTGGGTCTTATACTCAGCAACTGCAATCTGGGCCATAAATTCTCATTCTTACAGGTTTCCAAGAGAACTCCCAGAAATGAGTATAGTGTTGATCTTTGTCATATTGCTTTTGCTTGTCAAAACTTAGTATGTGGGAGGATAAAGAAATAATGAGAAAATAGAGAAGATTAATGTTACCACTTCCATAAGATACTAGCTGGTTGTGCCAGTTATTTTTATTTATAACTCTGAATGTAAGTACTGTCATCAGGAGTTTCTCAGATTGTTGTCATTTGTGGCACCATTTATTTCACTGGGGAAATTTTACTCCCACCATAGGGTTTTCTTTTCTTTTCTTTTCTTTTCTTTTCTTTTCTTTTCTTTTCTTTTCTTTTTTTAGATTTATTTGAATACCAGTATAGTTAACATTCCATGTTACATTAGTTCCAGATGTACAATATAGTGATTCAGCAATTGTATACATTTTTATTACTTCAGTGCACATCATGAGAAATGTGCTGTTAAACCTCCTCACCTGTTCCACCCATCCCCACTCACCTCTCCTCTGGTAGCCATCAGTTTGTTCCATATAGTTAAGAGTCTGTTTCTCGGTTTGTCACTTTTCTCTGTTCATTTGTTTCTTAAATTCTGTATATGAGTGGAATCATATGGTATTTGTCTTTCTCTGACTTTTTTTTTTTTTTTTTACTTTTAGACAGTGGCATTGAAATTTCAAAATTTTTGCAAATTTTTGCATATTGGGACATTGCTCTCATTTAACTTTTATCCAAGCTTTCCTTTGTCCTTAGTGTTCCTCCTTTGTTCTTCAAGATCTTCATTACATGTCTGTTGCTAATTACATGTTTGTTTCCTACTGTTTAAAATGAGAATAATAATAGTATTACTGTGTTACTAAATGCACAATCTTACAATGAGTCAAAATTATAAAGATGTCAAAGTTTGTGCCTTTTTGGGCCCTAAAATTTCAAAACCTTTTTCTCAGCTTCTGAATTTTCCAGGCCAACTGTAACCCATGTCCCCACACTAGCAGCAGCTACTTCACTCTGCCCCACTTTTCCACCACACTTTCCGTCAGTGACCCTCTGCCCTTGGTTTCTCCTTCTACTACTTGTAAGCAGTCCCAGGGGAGCCTTAAAAGTATTAACCTACTTCTTCTTCAGGTTCTCTTCCTTCCTCCCTCATGTCGAGTCTCTTCTAGGAACTCAGCCCTATACATTCATTTTCTTTCCCTCGGTTTTCAGGTTCAAACAGACTTAATTGGCTTACAGGGATTCATGTGCTTGAAGATATGAAGCTGTGTGCTTGCCAAAGCATTCCCTCATTGCTCAGATACCATCAATCTTCCCATGTCTGAGTAGGGTGATTTAACTAAGGAGTTACTCCTTCATCAAGGCAACACCTAACTTCCGTCTAAATTCTATCCTGTTGCTGTGTTGGAATGTGATAGGATGTGAACTGTCTCCCCAAGAGATCTTTATTTTAATCTCTGGAAACTGTGACTGTTACCTAATTTGGCAAAAATATCTCTTTGAGATATATGATTAAATTGTGACTTAAATTTTAAAATGGAGAGATACTGGATTATTTGAGGTGTCCTAAATGTAGTCACATGTATTCTTATAGAGGGAGGCAGAGGAAGATTTCAACACATGCAGGAGGAAAAGAATGAAAAGCTCAGAGCAGACAGAGATTTAATGATGGATTTGTTGAAGATTAGAATGATCCAGAGACAAGTTAAAGAAAGTTAGCAGCCACAGAAAGGAGCTAGAAGAGCCAAAGCTCTCCAAAAGCCTACACAGGGACCATGGCCCTTCCAATACATTAATTTCAACCCAGTAAAATTGATTTTTGACCTCCAGAACTGTGAGAGAATGCATTTTTGTTGGCTTAATTTACCCAACTTTATGTTAATTTATTGGAGTAGGCAGATGAAGTGAATATAGCCTTCATGTTCAATTTCATGTCACCTTGTGTGTCTTCTAATTTTTATAAAATACTAACTCCATGTTCTTTGGTGTGATTTCTCATTCTGTTTCTGACACTTTTCTAAATGTGTAACCTTTGGTAAATCATTTATCTTCTCTGTTACTCATCTGCCTAATGTTTAAAATGAGGATGATAATATCATCTACTTAATGTTTATTATATGGGCTTAAGTTAACATTTGTTAGGAGCTTAGAAGATTGCTTAGTACTGGCAAGTGTTATGTAAATTGATATTAAATAAATATTTAATTAAAAAAAAAAGGTTATTTGTTTATTTGAAAGAGAGAGAGCACAAGCAGGGAGAACAGCAGAGGCAGAGGGAGAAAGGCTCTCTGCTAGTCAGGGAGTCACGTACGGGGCTCGATCTCAGGACCCTGGGATCATTACCTGAGCCAAAGGCAGATGCTTAACCAATTGAACCACCCAGGAGCCCCTAAATAAATATTTTAAAAAAGAGATGAAACATCTTGAGGGAAGGAGAATGGGGAGGGCTGTGGGATGATGGTTGTCTCCCCTTTACCTTCTGTCACAATTTGGAAACAAACCATTAAAAAATTCTATTTGTGCTGGGTTTTTTTTTTTTTTTGAATAGTGTTTATTCAAAAGAAAGACACATATTGCCATCATATGTTTAAATCTCTGACAATTAGTTACATATTTAGGAAATAGCCTTTTTAAAATTTTGAATGGAAAAAGTAAAACATTAATATCATTTCTGTGTAAATGAAGTCTGATGAAAAAAACCACAAGCTGATCAATATAGGAGAATAGTGTTTTTAATATAACAGAATGAAAGTCTTTGGAAAAGACTTTCCAAAAGTTTTTGTAGATTTCATTGATGTGTTCAACAGCATCTGGAAAAAGGAAAATAACATAATTAGTTTTATATAATAGAATAAAATTACATTTATAGCAAAATATTGTTTTGTGATTTTAATGTTAAAGGATTATTTTAAAAGTTTACCTACAAATCTATACTATGATTAAGATGCACGTTTAAGAGATTCGTTTTCTTCTATCTTCTTGTATATACGATGCATGTAGTCTTGTAACAATTTATTTTAAAATGCATTGTTATTCAATATTATGCCTTATTTGCGTGCATGTATACATTATATAGGATTCCTTTGTGTGAGGGCCTTCGGTCCAGATCAACACAATCTTCTGATACTGAATGATGTAAAATAAAATTCCTTCTCTACCTTAAGAGACTTTTCTGGAAAAGTGGCACATTTCTTCTGTTACTTATTATGAATTAAGTACTTAATATAGTAAGAAACTAAACATAAATGCTTACTGAAAATATGAAATTATTAAATTTATGTAATATCTTCAACTAATTTACCAACCAATACCTTTTGATCTAATATAATAGTAAAATAAGTAAAAAACCAAAGAATATGGCAACATTAAAATTTAAAGCTTTTTAATTGCCTTGACATTAACTGTTATTAAGAGACATCACCAATGATATTAACTGCCCTCACATTTGATTTTCAATTCTACCTCAACAGAAATTCTGATTTGGCTTGTGAAATAAAGTAAAATAAGCCCTTGCCATTTTTCCTGTCCAATTTTATAACAGTAAAATTGGAACCACTTTGGGAAAGGATGAAGGAGTGAGGAATGAGTAACCAAATATTTTGTTCAGATGAGCTCAGGTGGAATGAGCACAAATGAGCTTTTTGACCAATGCCTTTCTTCTCAGGCTAATGTATAACAGAGGATGGAAGACACATTTGTGGGGGCAAGAGTTAGGGACTGGGAGATTTTTGTTCATGTTTTCTGAGGCAGTGGCTCTTGGTGTGGGGTAAGGGAAGCTGAATAGTTATAATAGAGAAAGATCTGTGCCAGCTTTAGCAATGGTTCCTCTCATCCACAATTCAATCCCTATACCTCCTATGGAAGTTTCTTCCTTTCATCAACCACTATTATTTTAGAATATTCATCATAATCATTTTGGATCAGTTTAAGGAAAAACTACTCAGTTCCTGAGTTCCTTACACAGGACATAAGTTTATAATTGCAGAAGCTCGAGGACACAAGACCAATGCTTCTCCACACCCCCCTTTCTTGTTTTCATGTAGTAAAAATATATTCCATGGTGGTTTCACATGATGAGATTTAGTCTATTTAATGTGTGATTTTTAAATCTCAGTATCATGTATGACTTACAGAAATAAAGGATTGGTACTCTCTTTTCTAGAAAATGTCATTTCTTTACCTAAAAACAAAAAGGTCTTTCGTGCATGATAAAATGTACTTCATTTCATAATAGTGGGCCTATCTTTCTTGAATAATCTTTATTCTCTTGGAAGTTGTATCCTGGTGACCTCTTTGTAACTCATATTTAGAATACTCTAGATCGCCACCATATTTAGCTTTTGAAAATGGAGAACTGGTCAAATCATTCTTCTCAAGGAAGATCCTTGATAAATTCCTTTGGCTAAGGAAAAAGTCCAAGTATTTAGCAGCGTTTTCAAGCTCCCCTCCCCTTTTTTCTTAATCAAGTCCCCTTTTTTTATCCATACTTTCCAACATTTTCCCTCTGCCCCCATGTGAGCCACAGCATAGGCTGTAGATGGAAAGTGCTTTGAATCAGAGGAACCTGCTGAATGAAAGTGTTAATGTGTGGGGTCTTGTAGAATAAGGCCTGCGCTTTAGACTTCTCTGGAGCAGTTTCAGACAACCCTTTAACTTGATCCCTATCTTTATCAGGAACAAAGGGACTGGAAGAAAATCGGTACCTCCATGGAGGAAACGATTGCCAGAGCATTCCATTAGTGGCGGCCTACTGCAAAATTTTCACTGGTGGATTTAAGCTCCCATTTCTTTTCAGTCTGTGCCCTGAATTCAGAGTTTCTTCCATGTAGTTGGGAATCCCACTTTCCCTTTTATAAAATAGTCCATTGCTTGGACTACATCTACTAAAACTTAAGGAATAGTTGCTTCTTGAAGATTTTTTAAAGAATGATCATTAAAAAAAAAACAAAACACTATACTTCAGGTCAAGATGAGTAACAGAAAGTGGTTTTACTCTTTTACTTGGAAGAGATTTTTAAAAATATACCAAACATGGGAGAAGCGGCAGGTTCTTGAGATCTGAGTGTTAAGCAGTGAAGGACAGTGATCCCTAAGAGAAAGGAAGAAAATAAAATGAACCCTATGATTGTCCTAGCTTACTGCCTGGAGAATTTCCAGGCCTTCGTGAAGGGAAATGGAGCTAGGAGTCCAGGAAGACAAGGTAGCTGAAATTCACAGAGCAGAGCATCAGAGAGGTAAGAGAGGGACAAAGATAAAGATACAAAGATCTAAAGAGGTTACCCTCATATTTTCAACTGAGTATGGATTATTTATATGATGATATCACCTGAAGCCTGGTTTAAAGAACCACTGAAAGACAAAATGGAACAATATCTGGTACTCATAGAGGACAGGGAAAACTTTTTGATCTCGTAAGAGTGAAAAATCTCAAAATTCACAGGGCATAAACTTGACTACTCAGAATGGTTTGATCTCCGTAATGGGAAAAAGGAGCCTTAGATAAAAATGTTTCTTTGTTACGGCTTGAAAGTCTTAACAAGATTGTAACCTAATTAATGCCATTGTAAAATAAAGCCCATGAACAAGTGTATATGGGAAAAACAATGTTTTCCCCTAATATCGGAAACAAGGCAGTGATGTCTATTTTATCACTTCTATTTAATGCTGACCTGGAGGTTTTAACCAGTACAGTATGCATTAACAAATAGATAAATAAATGGAAATAAATCAGTAGCATCGAATTTGGAAATTAAAATGTTTACTAATAGATGAATGGGTCATATATATATATATATATATATATATATATATATATAGTGAATGATACAGTCTTATCATGAAATGCTACTTTGAAAAAAAAAGACAAGACAACTACTATATACTTAACTACATGGACAAATTTCAAAATAATTATGCTGAGTGAAAGAAGGCAGACATGGAGAAGTATTTACAGTATTATTTTGTTTACATGCAATTCTAGAAAATGTGAGCCAATCTGTAAGGACAGAAAATGGATTAGGGATAGGAGAAAGAGGAGAGTGGGATTCCCCCCCGCATTGGTATATAGATATGTTAAAACTTACCATGGCAAACCTTTTCAGTACCTATAGTTTGCTGTATGCCAATTGAATCTTCATAAAGCTGTTCAAAATGTTTAAGTGATACTTGTTTCCTTATGGGGAGATTCAGTTTCTTTTCTCTCCTACAAATTCCGTGCATTATGGGAAAAAAGTTTAGGCAACCCACCTAATCCAGGGAAGTAGAAGGCTGGTGTTCTGAAGCCACAGGCTCGGCGTCATCAGGCTCTAAGGGCCCAGGCTCAAGGGCAATAAGCTTTGGGTCGGGAGGTGTAGTAGGTACAGCTACAAGAGGTGTGGCTATGTAAGGTTCAGCCGGTTTAGGCATGGGAGCACTGTCTGGGAAAAAAGGTCCTCCAAGTGTACTTGAGGGAAGGGCAAAGAGGGAAGATTTCTGAGGAGGAGTAGGAGGAGAGGAGGAGGACAGCCAAGTAGTTACAGGAAAACTAGGACTGTGGTAGGGGAGAGCTCCGGGAGAACTGAGAATCCAGGGATATGAGGGTCCCCCTGAATCAGGGTCAGGATTCCCACGGTAATTGGGGATTTCATTCCCTGAAGGATGAAAAGGAGGAGCAAAATTATTGTCTGATGAGGGATAAGGAATATTCAGAGATGGGTTAAGAGGGTAATGATTGCCACTGTAATCCTAAAGGAGAAGCAAAGAAGTCAGTTAAAGTTGATTGTTTATACCTACGTTATCTATATATTACCCAAGTTATGACCATGATGCTATACAGGGAGTGAAGATTTTTTTGATGAGAATTCCAATTTAGTCTCTTTCTTAAGGCTAATATATTTCCATAATTTTTGTGATAGAAACTAATAATTTCTTGAATATCGAATAAATCTCAATTTTGGGAGAAATATTTTGTGTTAAGGCAAATCAGAGTCTTATAAACTGAACAATATACCAGCTTAGTCTAGGAGAAAATAGAAGGAAAGTGTGTGCCCAGTACAGACTTGGTATTTCCAGGCTTCCTTCTCTGTACCCTCTGCCGAACCCACTGCTTTTAGTGCCTGCAGACATCTTAAGGGCCCCACTAAAGCATTCATTTAGATATACCTCTTTCATGCACCCTTTTAATCTCCTCTCCCATCCTATAACATCCTAGTCCGCTCATCAAGGTCAAGCATCTCTAACTGTTATTAGGAAGGAAACCAGACTGGATGTGGAGGAGTGAGCGCTGGCTTTAAAAAAAAAAAAATTGAGATATAATTGAGTATAGTTCATACCATTTTGTATATTTGAATGTTCTTAAGACAGTAGATCTTAAAAGTTGACATCACAAGAAAAAAAATTGTAACTGTGTGGTGAAGGATGTTAGCTGGACTTAATGTGGCAAGCATTTTACCGTATCTATCCCTGGCTTTTCACATTTAATTTTCCCTGTGCTGTTTGTGTGTGTGTGTTTTTTTTTTTTTAAAGATTTTATTTATTTATTTGACAGAGAGAGATCACAAGTAGGTAGAGAGGCAGGCAGAGAGAGAGAGGGAGAAGCAGGCTCCCCGCTGAACAGAGAGCCCAATGTGGGGCTCGATCCCAGGACCCTGAGACCGTGACCAGAGCTGAAGGCAGAGGCTTAACCCACTGAGCCACCCAGGCACCCCCTGTTTGTGTTTTAAATGAGAGATCATAAATGTTGCTCATGCATTCACTATTAAATTTCAAATGGTTTCTTTCTGTAGAAGGACCTCTACAAACTTCAATTGCCCCAGATTTGTCTGTTACATGTATGTGAGGCTGGCGGGGAGGTCCAAGGTCACAAAATTATGTAGGAATTTACAGAAAATTAAGACATTTCTTGGTCTCACATCCACAAAATTTTATTTCCTATCATAAATTTTTCATGCAGTTTTGGTATATATTAGTTTATGTATCAAGATCCTAGATTCTTTGATTCAGTGCATAGCTCACTTATAATTTAAAGAATCTTAAATGTGTGTAACATAAATATTTTTAAAATATTATAGGCTATGTTTAATATTTCTTATGTATTTATGTTAATGCTGGCCATTGACATTTTCTTTACATATATTATAAGCTAATTTGTCAATGGCAGATACCATTTATGAACATATATCCATTTTTCATATTTGTTAGAAAATATTGTCTCCTTTATCAACAGTACTTTTCTGTGATATGTAACTTTACATTCCAGTTTAAAGCATTTAATCTCAAGTGCAGGCAGTGAAACTGGATAAGATGCCACTATGAATAGGAAAATTACAGGATATATAAACACACATATGCTTATATTTATACATGCATTTTTAATGACCCATCATAACCACGCAAAGAATGCATTTCTAAATTACTTACTTAGCTTTTCAAGGAAAAAAAAGTAATACTGAATTATTTAACATTATTAGATAGAAAATACTATTTTTTGAAAATGCTATTTAAAAAAGAAAATAATACAGACTACATTTTAGTATCTTAAAATATAAATAAATAAGAACATATTTTACCTTTTCACCAGATGAGAGAATTTTCTAAAACAACAAAGAAAATAATGTTTGTGTTAAATTTCATGCCACTGAAAAATACCATTCTTTAGATCTCTACCTATATTCAGAGTGACTATAACTGACAAAACTGTCCAAGCAACTTGGAATTTTCTTCCTTAAGTGATAGTTGTTTTCCTTGTTTTCCATGACCACGTGGACTCTTCTGCTTTCTAAATACATTCTTACAAAATAGATATGCTATGGCCAATATTAATATTCTATTAGTACCAGTGTTTCTACACTATCATTAAATTTCTCATTCATGTTTATTTGTAAACTTTCACATACAGTGCTTAATTGGCTTATGTATACCAGATGTTTACATTAGAGCATCATTCGTGTTTATTACCCCATGACTAAACAAGGCTTTACAAAATAAATTCTCAATAAATGCAGATTGTTCCTCAGTGGATTTGGGATATTTTAAGCCTTTTCCTGGTGGATTTATTTTTAAAAAGTATAAGATGAGTGCCTACTATGTGCTGTCTGTCCCATGTGCTATATATTGGGATCCTAAGTATTGGAAAGAACAAACAAGATTTCTTTATTAAGACCTAGTTACTGTGTCTCCCAGTCAGTCCAGCTTCCTCATTAAAATTTAACATTGTATAAAACCAAAGCAATGAATAAACAAAAAGTAGAATCAAATCTTTAAATGCAGAGGACAAACTGATCATTGCCAGAGGGAAGAGGGTAGGAGGAGGGCAAAATAGGTGAAGGGGATTGGGAGATACAGACTTCTACTTATAGAATGAGTAAATCATGGGAATAAAAGACACAACGTAGAGCATATAATCAAAGATATCATAATAGCACTTCATAGTGACAGATTATAGATATAACTGTAGTGAGCATAGCATAACATATAGAGAAGGTGAATCACTATGTTGTACACCTGAAACTAATATAACATTGTGTGCCAATTATACTCAAATAAAAAAGGAAGAAAAAAGAATTTAATATTATATATAACATTTCTTTTCAATTTAGTTTGGTTTCCTGAATTGCTGAGTTAAAAATGTTTCCTTTTGCATCATATTTTCATCCTTCATTATGATGCATGTTGCACAAGTGATAAAGGTTTCAGAATGTTCACAGAGACAAATGTCAGTGACTTGTATTGTGACCATAGATCCCTAGTTTCTCATAAATAATATATTAACTCTTATAAGAAATTCAAAACAATAAAAAGAGTATCTCAGACTGTTTTCATTTTAATAGTTATTTTCAAAACCTTTCTACATTTGTATTCCATAAACATTTTTCTTCAAATAAGAATAGATTAATAGCACTAATATTTTAAAAGCAAGAGTAGTCCCAAAGCTACAGTGTAAAGGAATCAAAGACTTTAAAATACACTTTAAGGTAAAAAGAAATACATTCATATGTAATGAAAAGAGTCTTACCTCATCAGGGAAGTGGAAACGCTTCTAAAACAAAGGAAAAATTAATTCACTATGGTTATTTATTTGAAAACATCTGTACCCAGATTTCCATATTACTGAAGAATTTGTACAGTTTTATTAGTATAGTTTATTTCTTTTTTTTTTTTTAAGATTTTATTCATTTGTTTGAAAGAGAGAGAGAGAGAGCGCCCATGCGCACAAGCTGGAGGGGGGAGGGTATGGGGTGGGGTAAGGAGCAGAGGGAGAAGGAGAAGCAGACTCCCCGGTGAGCAGGGAGCTGACTCTTGGGGCTCCACCTGAGATCAACCATATTTTTGACCTCATTAGTTGTCTTAGAAAGTTTTACTGTTGCTGAAGGATTTGGGTTTGTAATCTGAAATCTGAAAGATCATCTGGCTGTTATTCATATATTTGGTTTTGCTGCTGTCTTTCACTCTCAAGTTTTGTTTGCATTCTGTGTGTGTGTATGTGTGTGCATGTACACGTATAAGTGCCACTTGTTTACACTTGCACAAGGATCATATATATATTCACTTGTTCTCCAATGAAGCTTCAATGTATTTTATGAATTCACCACAGATTATGCACAAGAATAAAAAATAGTATAGAAACTCATCATTTACTATTTTAAGAATTAGAGTTTACTTCAGGTAATTTTAGGAGATATAAAAAAGTACCTTGAAATTTTCCCAGGATCATAACAATAATTGCAATAGTATTAATATTAATATTATTATGATAATATATAATACAAAGTAATAATATATAATACAAATACAAAAATATATATTATATATTATATATTATATAATATAAGTATATATAATATTATAATAATATTAATAATACAAAGTAGCATTGAGTCCTAGATACTCTGTAAACACTTTGGATAAATATTTAATGCTCAAAACCATTCTGTGAGGTAAATGTCATAATTTTCTCCTTTTATAAAAGAGGCTATTTAGCACACTCATTGGCTAGAATTAAGAATTTTCCATCAGCTATCTCTTACATTGGAGTCGCATCTGCTTATGCTGCATTGAAAATCATTATGTCCGTTGAACCACGTATTCCTGTGACTCTACCTAAACACTTCTATCAAAGGAACATCACTGCCAGAGGAAGCCCAACCCAGCTTTCTATAATTTGAAGATATAAACTCTGTAAAAACAATCTACATGGCATTCTGGCTGCCTCTAACTTTGTCCTCCTCTAGCCCACTACATTTTTGAACTAACCTCTTTTCCTTGCTGGTTAGCCATTTAGATAACACTTTATTATTTTGTTTTTTAAAATATCTTTTGAAAAGTTTGGCACAACAAACCTCATGCCCATTAACATATCTCTCTGCTTTGTTGTTATCAGTGCTATACTAACTTATGTCAATAACATGAATTCCTATCTATGATTGTTCGATGGTTATACTATTGCTATAACTTAAAGTCTATTTCCTCACTCACCTTTGCAAAAGCAACATAAAAGATGCAGGCCCACAGTAGAAGCTTCATTTTGAGTGAGCTTATGAAGGCTAATTTTATAAAGTGGTTGTTTCAGAAAAGATACAATATATATCTTAGTTATTTCTCTTCTCCTAGAGAGAGACAAAAGAATGCATGGTTTTGTTAGTCTGATTAGAAGCACCCTCAATAGTAAATTTGGCCCTATGCTATTAACTACTGTTGTTACCTAATAGGAATGATGCTAAAACAAAATTACCCTTTTCTGAAATGTCCTTCAACGATCAGTTGGCTTCTAACTAAACTTTAAGAGGGAGTGAACTCATTTAGTTATCTAGGGATACATTTTTGCAATTAATTTGTCATGGAGTGCTTACTATGAAATAAAATTGCTTAAAAGTAGCCATTCTGTGGGTGCTGTATTAGGATTTTCTTTTTGAAGAATAATTAGGAGATTAGTATCAACAACTTGGAAAAATTTCCAGTCCTAATGTTGCTGCCACTGTATGCTGTGGCATAAACCTTTAGGTTCTTAATCATCCATATTTTCCCTCTCTCTCTGAAAAGTGGTGGGGCAGCCCTATATTCAGGTGTGTGTCTTGATTAGGCTAAATTTTCTTCAAAAAAAGTAAAGCCAATCTCTAGTTGATTGTCTTCTCCCTTCCCCCCAAACATAAATTATCTCCACTTTTAACTAAAAATATATATATATACATGACACTTTTATAACATTAATATCTCAAAATGTGAAAAATATAAATGCCAAGAAGTGTTTTATTAATAATGATATCAGGTTCATAATATATTGTCAAATGAATATTCAGATGTTAAATATAGCTAAAGTATTTAGTGGATCACTTCTAATTAGAAGATGTCTGATTTTTAAAATAATTTCCATAATTCATTTTATCCTCTATAGTATATATTTTTTTGTGAAGTGAGAATGTATTACTTATATGCTAAATATATTCCAATAACATGAAACTTTGCAAGTTTTTGATGAGATCATGAATGCTTTAGTGTCTTATTCATAACAAGACCTAGGATGCAAAATTCTATTCATGGGAGTAGCACAGGAAATTATATACTCCATCCATTTCTCAAAACATATATATTTTTTAAATTTTATATCATCTATTTACCTGTTTAACATGGTTTGACCACATATTGGATGGTCTTTGCTATAATGTTCTTTGGTATTATATGTCTGTTTCTTTGTTGAGAGACTACAAAAGCAAGAAACCAATAGGTTTTACCATTGTTTTTAAGTTGTAAAGATATATGGGACAATGAACTGTGCCTCATTCTCTTTTCCTATAAACAGCACTGGAGAAATTCCTGACAGGTCCCAATACCTAGGGTTTTCTGGAGCTATGGATATACTTTCATGTCCTAGATGCGTTGATATTACTTATCTCTTGTTTTTGCACTTGTTTTTGTTTCTTGCCTCCCAGGAATTTCAGAGTCAAATTTTTTAGCCATATTTAGAACTCTACAGGGCATTATGGCACCTTATTTGGGAATCTTACTGCATCTCCGACTTTATATCATTTCCTCTAGCCTTGCTTTTCCCTTATCAAAACATCTATATTATTTAAAAAAAAATTCCGTTTTACTTATTTTGCAAGCTGTCTTAAATCCTTTTAGAATGAGTCATATCATGAACAAAAGAGGAAAAAATTAAGCAATCAAACAAATCTCCTAAAATCGTCTATAGTGCTAAAATTTCTCTTTGGTATATTTTAACATTTTAGTAGAAAGAAAATAAAAATGTTAATTGGTTAAACAAAAGTATGAATTTATACCTAAAGAAGATAATATCTTATTCTTCAGTATAGATCAGTTATTTTTAAATTAGCCTGTACTTCACTGTACAGCACATGTGACCTAAAGATTAACAATATAAAGTTAACTGATGTATTTATTGATCTCTCTAAAATCATTCCTGTTAGCCTTATCTGGGTTTCTGAAATAGGAGGATTTAATTGGATGGAGCCAGATTTTCAAATACATATTATGTTGTCTGTTAATTGTCTACTATATGGCACTTGAATAATTTAGAAGACCTCTCCCCTTATCCTACTATTATTTTGGGAACCTATCAATTTGATTATATGTAATGGCCCCAAAACATAGATAAATATAGATAAAAGAAACTATGTGAGAAAATGCACATTCACCTTTTATTTAGTGTGCTTTGAGCAGAAATTCTATGTAACTAGTTCAAATAATACCAGCTTAAATTATTATATGATAGATAATTCAAGAAGCACAATTTTACTTAATTTGACTTTTGTCTTACTGTGACTATTAATTTAATGAAGCTCTTATGCATTAGCAATTCTATTAAAGATGAATAAGTATTTCTTCTTCACGAAGAATATAAAAAGATAAAGAGTTCCTATTGGAATAATTAACAGCCAACAAAGGATAACTCAATTATAATTTTAGAGTTCCAAAAAAATCATTTGAGAATGGAAAAATCCCAGATTTAGCAATATTTAAAAATCTTTTCTCCCTTGTCTCACTGTCTCAGTTTATCTATTCACATATCACTTGTGATTTAGTACTTTAGAATGCTCCAGAAGGAAAAAAGCATTGATATCTCATTCGAATAATGATTTTCCCTTCTCCTTTTCCTCAGTTTTTTATTTTTCCCCTTCAAATAGCTTTGATGGAGAGGGGATGACTTGCCCCACTCCTCAGTTCTTCAGAAGAACATGAGAGTACCTGAGTAGAAACTTTTACAGTTTATGTGAACTCCTGAGTTCATTCTGAACCTAGTTATTAAAAAAAAAAAAATTCCCATTATGAGTCTTCTCTTGTGTAGTCTTGAAGTGATCATTCAGACTTGTGGTGGATTAGATTTAAACAACACCCTGTGTTACTAACTTCGCAAACCAGGAGAGGATGTAAATACACATTTATAGGCAATCTATGAAAGTCTGTCTAACTGCGACTTAGGGGAGTGTCTTTTACAAATGGAAACATTTTTATATCAGGGTTGTGGGGAGGACACCTTGTTTCCAGCATGGAAACTAATGGCTGTAGATCTGGTCTTGCTCTGGACACTATGCCTCACTCCCTTTCCTCTAGGGGTATTTATAGGAAGTCTTTAATTTAATGTTACCTCCTTTGTTTTGAAATAAATCAGCATGATATCTAAAAAAAAAATAAAAACCTATCAATTTGACTCATTTGGCTATAAATATAAATTGATTTGGCTCATCAGTAGACTCAGTGTAGCCTGGGAAAGAACCAGAGAATTTGAAGATCTATTTCCTTCCTCCCTCCCTCCGTCCCTCCCTTCCTTCCCTCCTTCATTCTCTCCTTCCTTCCCTCCTTCCCTCCTTCTTTCCTCCCATTCTTCTTTTCTTCTTCTCTTGATCATTCACTTAGTCACTTAGTACTATTTTAGAGCCTAGAGAATATGAGAAAAGCAACCAGTGGGTAAAAGGTAATTGAGGACAACATTAAAGTAAGGTCTTTGGAATTTAAAACTCCAAAGGTAGTACTTCTTTTGTGAATGAAGAAGTTAAAAAGGTGTAAATTTAATTACCCCCTTACTTCAGATTGTTATACTAAAAAAACTGGGTATTATTAAGTTCGTTACTTTTTTGATTCAACTGTATAGGAAACCTGTGGAATGTATTTGACAGTTGGAAAGAATGGACCTGAAAAATGAGCATAACAGTAGCTTTCTTTTGTTATGTACAATATAATACTCCACAGACAGTAGGTGATTTTAGCATAGTGATGGATAAGAACACATCCTGTGCTTTTGAAGTAATGGAAATAGGGTGCCTTTTCCTTTGTTACTGCAGCTACACTCCTGGAATTGTCAAGGTTTTTAACTTACAAGAGAAATACTCAATAAAGATGTACTACAAAGTATTGCTTCCATAAGTATGCAAGCAATAGCCATATTTTTGTAATGTTTTCCTACTTTAATATTTTTAAAATCTTTTCTAATTATCAATGAAATTAATTTGAATCTGGAGAGATTGACTCTGACAAAGCCTTGAAAATTACTTACTGATCTCAAAAAGTAGCCGTGATAGCTGCTATGCTCCAGTTTAATTTACTATAATAAAATATTAAGTCTGGAATATATGGAATAACCTGTGAATTCATGAATACTGGATAATATTTTGACTACTAGGGATAATGTTTTGACTACTAGCAATGCGTACACATTGCTCCTCATATTGTTCACATTTTCATTTGGGAAGTCAACAAATATGGAAATATTCAGAACTCAGTTTGGCTCACCCATCTTATTTGAGGGACAGCAGTTACAGAGTTGAATCCAGAGAATTAGGAGCTGATTTTAATTGGCTAATTGTATGTGGCAATTAAAATGATTAAAGTGGATAAGATCATATAGGAAAAATATGTATAGTTAAAAAGAAGTGGCTGAGGTCAGAGTCCTAGAAAATATCAATGTTTGTGTAAAGAAGAGATGTCCATGTGAAATACCTAGAAGAAATAGCTAAAGAAAGAATTATAAAAATTACCAAAAAGGAAATATTAATAGGTCCAAGTAGAATCGTGCACCTGGGGGCAACTTATTCATTTTCTAATACAGTTTCCTCACCTGTAAGGTATAGTATTAATCATTATTATTAATGTAATAATTATAAGGTTAATTTAGGCAAGTATATAAATTACCCTGCACATAACTGCTTAGTTTCATGTATTATAATCATCATTATTACTTTTACCACAATCTATTAAAAAGGAGAGATTACAGAGAAAATTTTTAAAAGCATCAAAAGAGCTATTAGCTTTGACAAAAAGTTTATTTGAAACTTGAAGGAGACAATTAAGTTATGTTGAGATTTATCAAGTTATTGAAGTATTATAGTAGTGGTGGATAGTGTTTGGGCTTGATAGACTCAAGACTATTTAATCTACAAAATAGAGAGGTTGTGGTTTTTGTAGGATTAACTGAACGTATAAGGAGTGTTGAGGAAGGCAGCTAACTCTAATGCCAACAAGACAGTGTTTGATAAACACACTTTGGTGACAAAAATTCAGAAAATTAACTTACTTTAAGATTCAGCTGCTTGGATGGAGTGGCGGCGGACACTGAGTTCATGGTTGGGGGTTTTCCCGACAGGATTCAGTGCAGAGATGCAGAAGAGTTCTATGTAGTATGAGGATAATATTTGAAATAGTCAAGGATAAAGTCTGGGCTGTGTAAGAAAGGGAGTTCCTGATAGGGAACAGAGAGAATGGAATTCAATCAGAGTGTTAAGGGATGCAGTGTTCTATGAAAACAAAGAAAACTTCTCTCAGCTTCTTCTTGTTCCACCCTTTCAAAGTATATGTCATATGTTACTTCCTTCTGAAAACAAACAAACAAAAAAAACCCTTTAATGTTCAACCTGAATAAAAAAGGAAATGATGCTAAGGGGGATTGAATAGAATGGAAGATAATGGAAGGGCAAAAAGGATTGGAATATTCTATGAAGTGAAAGAAAAAGTCTTCAGTTTTCAAATATTTTCACCAAAGACACACCTCTTACAATGTCACTCTCCTGTGAACAGCCCCACCGCTCCAGGATCTTCCCATCACAACCAAATGCATAACACAAATTTCTAAGCTCAACAACCTTCATATTTATCCCTCCTTTCTGACCTCAGCTCTACTTTCCCTTAACTTCCCTTCCCTCTGTCTTCTTTGGATGTGTTCATCCCCTTAGAGTTTTCCCTTATAATACATGCATATACCCACTCATTTGCTCTTTGTGTTTCTTCATTTGTTAAATACCATTAATAGGAGGCCTTGGAAGATTTATATTCTCAATGTCTGACTCCTTTCTTCAGTGGGACAATGTGAACTGAGAGGAGGATTGAGGGCTCTGGTAAACTTTGGGATTGAGGCTGTGGCACATTATGAGCATGAATAAATCAGAAAGATGGTAGGTTGATGGCTGCATAGTTTGCCAACTCAGCTGTGGTTGGGAAATATAATTAGTAGTGTTCAAGGTTATCCATTATGAGAAGTAAAATCTAAGTGTAAAGTTGTGTCAGTGATAGCCAAGTTCATAAAAAGTCAATTGGTAAAGGACTCTATATTATCATTCGTAGCCTTGTGGGCCAGTATGAACAATAGAAAGGATGATTACACACCAAAGAATGCAATTGAAATTTTATTTTGGGGGGGAAAGAAAGGTGGTTTTCCAACTCAGAAAGAATGATGAAAACTTTACATAATCATCAGCCCAGTTTGTATGAAACCACGATACAGACCCAGTATATTCAACATGAATTAACAGGAAAAGTGTAAATGACTCAGGAAATATTCTGCACAGTCTTCATTTGGCTCAGTGTTTTTGGCTTATTAACAGGTCTGTCCAAGCTGGTAGTATGAAGAAACATTATAGACAAGAAAATGTAGAAGGTAGATTTTCTGGTCAAACCTAAAAGGAAAAAGACAGTACTGTGTTATCTACTAGGCTGATCTCCAGCAATAATGTGTGTTTGTATATAGAACCATACAAACTCTCATCCACTCTAGTCTGGCAGAATAATTAACTATTAGTTAATTATTTTCTAGTGCCTCAAATGATATCTAGCACATAGTAGGATTTTAGTAACTATTTGTTGAACAATTAATGAATGAATGAAAGTTAATGGGCTCTTCAGTCTAACATACAAAAGTAGTGTTTATCTTTATTTATTAAATGGTAAATATTTACATTTTAACATAAAATGTAAATATTTACCATTTGAAGGCATATTTAACTACTTTTATTTTCCAAATAGTTTATTAGACATAAAATATTACTGCTTCTTATATTTTAACCCTTTTGATCTACTTGAAATCTTGATTTTATTAAAGGAATTTTATTATGTGGAAAGGCTTTGGGCTGATATTTTAAGAAATCACTTTGTAATTATAAAATTCTTCAGAATTTATTGTATTTTTTTGTTTTCTCTGTTTCTTTTATAATTTTTTAAATTTTTCTGTCAATTTGGTATTTTTTGCCTCATTATTTCTCCTGTCACTGTTTTTGTTAGTCTAATTATATGAAAGAACTTAGTTTAGGACTTAACTCAGATGCATAACTTGACCTTTCTGTACCACCATGTCCTCATGCCTCTAACTTGGCATTTAGCATATTGTATCGCCATTTCTGTGTCCTTGTCTAGAACAGAGCTTAATGAAGGTAATTTTGGGATCATTCCTATTTCATGTCTCTCACATGATGGAGTACATGATCAGCTTTTTAAAAATGTAGAATAAATATATAATGATAACAAAGGGAATATTGTTATTTATAAAATACAACTATTTTTAGTTCTTATCTATAGTAGTTGTTAGTATCTTCCTCATAAAAGGTTATTTTGTGAAGTTGCCTCTTTCTCATTCATTAGGAAGAACAAAATGAACAAATCAAATTTGCGACAGGGTACCTAAAGTTTAAAAGTGCCCTTTCAATAAATACCCTATCTGGACTTTGGGTACAGTTTGACTTGAGCAGGGGAAGGTTTGACCTTTAGGGCCAAAAATCTGTATTAGACTTGGTGCTTTGGCTTTTGCAGGGTGATCACAAACAACTTATTTAACCCCCAACGATCCTCAGTTTCCTTACCAAAAATTGGGTCATCATATTAACTACCTCTTGGATTTTCTTGTGAGTATGAAAGTAGTTAATATAAGCAAAGGACTCAAAACAGTGACCAGCACATGGTAAAATCCTTAATAAATTACTGTTATTACTAATTTCTTTGAAACCTACTTTGTCCTATTGCAGGGCATATAAAAAGAACAAGAAGGTAAATTGAATGAGTCAGAATTCTAAGATAGGAGATAGCCTATACTGCAAGGAGCATATAAGATAAATGTGAGTACATAAAAGCAACACTGATATACATTCATTTCCTTGGATTTCCACCTGGCTTTAAAGCAATGGACAAAATATCAAAGAAAAGAAATTAAGAAAAACTAAGGTATAAAAAATGATGATTTTTTTCCCCAGAGAAAATGATACAGAGAATTTATTTTAGAGCAGCTTGACTTGTCTAGGAAACGGTCTTGGTATTATACACTTTTGCCAAACAGAAATGCTGAGTCTGCACTTCTTGGCTCAGTTCAAAGACATTGATACACACCTCTGTGAACATTAAGTTTGTGATAGTTTCCACCTAGATAGTTTCCACTAATGCTTCTGGCTGAATGCATCATCAGCTACAGAGAAAATTTCTTATAATTTATTTTCTTAGTTAATTTATGATAATATATTTTATAAAATATTCATAAAACATGCATGAAAAAGTTACACAGATAAGTTACATTAATGAATCAAGAAGGTGTACACAAAGTATAAAATATTTCATAAGCCTAAATACCATTTACTTAAAATTGAAACTATATTACTTAACAATATTAAGGTCACATTCTTCACATAACAATTCTGCTTTAGGGGTGCCTGGGTGGCTCAGGCAGTTAAGGGTCTGCTTTTGGCTTGGGTCATGATCTTGGAATCCTGGGATGCAGTCCTGCATTGAGCTCCTTGCTCAGCAGGGAGCCTGCTTCTCTTTCTGCCCCTCACCCCTCACTCTGCCTCTCACTCTTTCTCCCTCTCTCAAATAGGTAAATAAAATCTTTTTTAAAAAAAGCCAATTCTATTTTAGATTATTGTTTAAATTCTAGATATAAAAGCACTTACCAAAAGCAAGTAGAAGTTGTTAATTCAAAAATCTCAAAGGTGTCTCTTTAAAAGAGAAAGAAATGACATATTTTAGCTAAATGTTTATAATAACAAACAAAAATAATATATGGAAATATTTAGAGTAGATTTTAAGCATCTCACATTCAACTACAGATACTAAATTCTTATTTTCTCTAATAATGAGGAAGATATCTTTAAATGTTACATGTATATCAAAGAAACGAAGTCATATTTAAACAAATATCCTGAGGAATGAAGTGACTTACTCAAAATCAAAAGCTTATTTATGTCAGGTCTTCTGTTCTAAATTCTACATTGTTTATATTAAATTGTTCTCTCAGTTCAATTTCTTGCTTTCTCACTTATTTTTCATGTTGAAAAAGAATGTTTACTGTCACATTTTTAAAAATTAAATAAAAGAAAAAAATTAGCTAGAGCTTGGACTTCTTTTTAGAATTTTGGATACTTATGGAAAATGAAAATAATATTTGCTATCTTAACCTACCAGTAAAACCTGCTGTAGGAATCAACTGAAATCTTTTAAGCAAATACTTCAGAGATTTAAATCCAATGTAAATACAATTTATCATTTTAATTATTTTTATAGCTGTGTTTATACTTTTGATTTATAATTTAATTGTCAGCCTAGAAATTTTTATTTAATTTTGTTTTAGCTTCTACTGAACAGAATCGGTTGAAATTTTCATTATTTCATTTCTTTAGTTTACTTTTAATACAAAAAGTAATTCTATTTTTTAAATTAGAAATAAAAAGGGAGAACATTTTTTCATGTGTCTGTTAGCCATTTGTATGTCTTCTTTGGAGAAAAAAGTTCATGTCTTTTGCCCATTATTTGTCTTGATTATTTGTTTTTTGGGTGTTGAGTTTGAGAGGTTCTTTATAGATCTAGCCCTTTATCTATAATGTCATTTGTAAATATCTTCTCCCAATCCGTGGGTTGTTTCTTAGTTTTGTTGACTGTTTCCTATGGAATATTACTCAGCCATCAGAAAGAATGAATAGCCACCATCTGCACAGACATGGCTGGAACTGGAAGGAATTATGCTAAATGAAAAAAGTGAAGCAGAGAAAGACGGTTACCATATGGTTTCACTCATATGTGGAACATAAAGGAATAGCATGGAGGACATTATGGGAAGGAAGGGAAAAATGAAGGGGGGGGTATCAGAGGGGGAGATGAAGCATGACAGATTATGGACTCCAGGAAACAAATTGAGGGTTTAAGAGGGGAGTGGGTGGGGGGGATGTGGTAACCAGGTGATAGGTATTAAGAAGGGCACAGGTTGTAATGAGCACTGGGTGTTATATGCAAATAATGAATCATTGAACACTACATTAAAACTAATGATGTACTGTATGGTGAGTAACATAACATAATAAAAAAGT